GTGGCAGAGTGACGAAGTCGCTTCTGGCGGCTGCTAGCACCTATAGAGCATACATGGCACACAACAGGGATTTCATTCACTTAAAGGGCGCTCTTTGGAAGCATCCGCTGCTGTGAAAGTTGTTATGCTACTCCTCTAAGCTTGAATCTATTTATAGAAGTTAATGGTCTAACCGGTCCGACCGGTCCGACCATGGTGTCGAGACATCGTCAGACCAGACCAAGACCAAGAAAGACCAGACCGTTCCGATCACTGGGGCTAAGTGTTATCATTTTTTTTGTCCTAGGTTCGTCTGGTATATTCTACCTCCGCTTATAGTCGAGCCTTCACCTCGTAGATAAGGTCAAACACAACATACACACAGCCGTTTGATGCATTGAAGTCCTTAGATGGTGACACCAATACCAATAGTAATGACTCCATCCTTAATTCCCTGAGATAATGCCTCAATCACCACGACGCCGAGTGCCAGGGGGACCAGGACGGGGAGAGCAAGATACACGCCATACAATGTCCCGGCTCCCACGGCTGCCGCGCCCACCCTAACGGCAGCTGTCCCACCTAACTCGCCCCATGTCCACTGCCAAAACGGCATCGTGACAGGGACAACCTCAGCGCCACCATAGAGTCGAGCCAGTTGATTCTCTAACTGGGCTTTCGCTGCCAAGCGTCTCTCAGTTGGACTATGATCATAGTTGCATCCAAATTTGATATATCCATGATCCGGGAACTCAGCCCATGTTGTGTTTTCGAGATTTTCGATCTTATCTTCGAATATCTGCCGTTCATATTCCGGCACACGGTCCCATTTTGTCGAGACAAATGTTATATGAGGCAAAGCATGGTTTCGTTTTAAGTCGTGTAGAAGGTCGAGACTTTCGGTTATGCCTGTGTATGTTCGATCCGCTTCGATATTGTGTAGATATAAGATGCCATGAAGTCCGCCAAAGCAGCGAGTCGCAAAGCCAAGTGTAGCCATAATCGTATTCCTTACCTTAGAAGCACTATAGCCTGTGGTTCCGAACCCAGGCGTGTCAATTATCACAAACTGCTCTCCGCCAATAGCGACAAGTTGACAGAGAGCGTCGACAGTTCCTATCAAAACGTTACCTTTCTGGGAGAAAGCTACAAGGAATTAAACCAATACTGCTTACCAGTTTGTGGGCCATGACCGACTCGGATGGCAGCCCCTGTGAGAAGCTTGAGGAAATTACTTTTGCCAGCTCCAGCAAAGCCCAAAATGAGAATAACTTTGACACGGCCCCGGAGCTCACTAATACGCCGTCAGATACTGACTTCAATGTCTTAATATTCCCCAGTGTGGGACTCACCCAGTTCGTAACTGCCGTATCAATTCTTCGTGCTGTGCCTGTACTCCTTCTCCATCTGAGGCGTTTGGCACAAGCACCAGTTGCACATCAACTTCATCTGCCATCTCAAACGTTATTTTGTAGTGATGTTGAAACGCGCATGTTCGAAGCGGGGTAACGGTTCTTCGCTGCGTCATCATTGTGATCGGATTTACATCGGGCTAAGTTCAATCGCTGGCGTATCAGTGTATTGGTAGATACTGGTACCCGGCATGTTAGTGCTACTCGTTATCGACCAGTGTGTAGCACTAACCCAAAAAGGGAACCTACCGAGACTTGTCCTTCGCCCACCACCCACTGCACAGTATACATATTTTCATTGTGCAGGAGGAGACGCGAGAGGGCGGCGCCAAAGAGGCATGCTGAAAATTGATTGATAACCGCTTGGACAATGTCTTGGCAATTGAGTAAGCAGGCCGCCGCCGCCGACGAGGAGGAGGAGGAGTCCAAGGTAAAGCTTCTATCACGAGAGAACCATTTCACAATTAATCCACAAGAACCCGGCCACATCTCTGCGCGTTCTAGTTGACCATCGTTGTGAACGACGACGTAGGAGCGTCGTCGCATTGACGTTTTGACGCTTGTGGACTGGCAGAATGAAATATTCACTGTCACTTAAACGCCCGTCGAGCGCGCATCTCCTTTGCCTGAAATTAAGAAGAAGCCTTGAGAAATATTATGTATGAGAGAATTAGGCTGCCTCTTAGCGGCACACGCTGCGATTGGTTTGGTGTTACTTGATTGGTCAAACATCGAATATAGTGGATCTTGGTCAGTGTCCAGGAGGACACCACAGTGCTCTGCACTGCTGAACCAGGGATAGTTGACATGGTTGTGTCCGCAAACCCGAGAAGATTGAATGAATAGCCTCCTCTTTCACCACTGTCCAGTAATGGGTACAAAGATTCGTGCCGGATACAAATTGTGGGCTAGCGAAGCCTGGTTCCGACACTCAAGGCAATCTGAACGGTGCTTATTGATGGGTGACTGGTGTACAGGTACCATAACCCAGTAGAAGACGTAGCCCCGCTGACTGGTGCCTTGATTTGACCGACGGCGGACTGATTTGTCGGTCAAATCTCTCCTGCTCAGTTTAGGAGCGTTGGCGATGACCTGGACGACAAAATTTCTCTGAATCATCAATATGGTAAATATTATTCATTCATTCAAGTTCTATTACGCCCCGGTAGCCGAAGCTAGAAGGGCAACTATCTGCTGTGTACCTAGTTTCTTCTCAACCTTGCGTCCTATTCTCGCTAAAGCCCATGCACTTCTTTTGCGTCCGATTTTGGCTGTTTGCTTGTGTCCCACCTCTTCCTACAGTCCTCAAACGAGGTAAATTTACAAAGCAGACCTGCTTAAAGGCCATTTCTTCAAGTGTTCAGCATCCTCTCTACAGCAACTGAAGCGGCGGTTGCTCTTGATTCTGCAGGGTAGTGAGTGTTGGTTGATTGGAGGTTGGATTCGAGGAAGGCTTGGGGTTAGTAGTTATTGAGGCGACCGGTCGCGAGAGCAAATTTGATCGTCGCTCTCACCGCTCTCATGTCGGGCTGCCAATTGGTCTTGTCTGATCTTTGTTTTCCGCCTAGGTAAAAGCTGAGATTTCCTCTTTGTGTTGTCGTGCATTCTAGCATCACCTTTCGCTGTTCCATCCATCTGACACATGTGAACAGGAAGTGCTCCACTGTCTCTCTTGCTTGCCCGCAACTACATAATGCAGAAGGTGCAGCATTAATGCGGTGCAGGTAGTCATTCAGTCTTGCCATGCCTGTCCTCAGTTGTACAAGCACGGCAGCTTCTTTGCGGGTGAGTTGATCGTACATCTTCTTCGTGTGCTTGCCTGGTAGGGCTTGGTCAATACGCTTAGAGAATCTGCCTACACTTTCAGGCAGGGCATCAACGATGGGCAGTTTGGTTCGTGCAATAGTCAGGGTCGTGGAGCGCATTGCTGGAAATGGCCTTTCCGCGGTAGCCCCCACCTGAGTCATGGCTTTCGCCTGTTGCTTCGCTTTCTGTAGCAGAGTATTCTCCGGGCTTGCTGGCAACCATCGTACCAGGATCATGTTTCCACGAGCTCGCAATGTGTCGGCTGAGTTATAAATTGAGCGAATCAGCGCTTGACCAGATTGTTGTTGCGGCCGATGTATCGCAAGTGCTGCCGCCCTGTTGCTGGTGAGCACAACCACTCGTTGGTCCCAAGGCTCAGACAGCGCACGCCGCAGAGCATACGCAATCGCTGCCAGCTGTCCAGAGTATGGGTTGTGCTGGTCCCTCGCACCAAGCGTGAAAGCAAACGTTTTGTCACAGAATCCTGGGATGTGGACTGCTCCCCCAACACCAACTACGTCGTTTCTGGCAGAACTGCTGACTGCCACTTGCACTGCTTCGGCCATGCTTGGTACTGATTCTCCTCCAGCGTCATCGATTACAACCTGTATTCTCTTTTCCCAGGGAGCAAGGGTGAATGGTTCAATGGTTTCCATGTCGTCGAGGCTAGTCGAGTTGAAGACAACGGACACTTGCTGGAAAGGCGACAAGAAACCGTTTTTCCACACTCGAGACATTCTAGAAGCCTCTCGACGTAGGGGGCTACTGTCAGGCAAGGTGTGAAGCTCCACCCACAGCTTCATGGCTCTCTTCCACAGTCGATCTTGAACGCTACTGATATGTGCTTCTGCCTCAGCAACCTTGGTCGCCACAGTCCTGAATGCGCCAGTGATAGCTTGAGCGCCCATCTTCTGAACTCGATCCAACATCTTTGCTCTCCTATCTATGCATGCGTGCCTCCAAACGTTGGAGGCAAAGTCTACGACAGGGGCGACCATGGCTGTGAACAGCCGTCGGGCTGTCGATGGCGAGAGTCCTTTCAGCCTTCTGAGTTGCATCGCAGCCTCGAGGCCTTTGGACGATGCCCTTGCGATGTGCTCCTTGTACTTTAGGCGCGTGTCCATGATAAGTCCTAATACCTTTACATGGGTTTTTGGATGCACTTCTCGATCCTTAATGAGAAAAGGATCTGAATCGTTCTTGTAGCTTGTCTTGGTGAAATGGATAATGGAGGTCTTTTCTGCTTCAAACGTCGCGCCGCTGCGCTTTTCCCACCCAAGAGCTGTTTCGATAATGGACTCGATTCCTGCACGATTGTCTCTCGCCGAAGGGCCAGCGACCCAGGCAGTAAAGTCATCAACAAATGCCACCGATCCTCCGTTCCAGGTAATGCGGCGTTGTACCAAATCGGCATTGTAAAAGAGAAACAAAATTGGAGACAGTGGAGAGCCTTGAGGCAGTCCGGCCTGCGGCAATTCCTGGGTGTCAGACGTCTGACCATTGACCTGGATAGTCGCTGTGCGCGAAGAGCAGAAAGCCTCCACCCAGCGCGTCCATGTTTCCGGGATCCCTCGAGCCTTCATTCTTTGAACGAGTCTACCTTTGCAGACACCATTGTATGCTCCTTTGACATCAAAACTGATCAGGCTCAGCACTCGTTTCGCCCGCCAGGCATATAAAATCTGCTCCTGTAACAGTATAAGAGCCTGTTCTGCCGACCTCTGTTTTCGGGCTCCGAAGTGATTTGCCGGCAACAAGCCGTACGTTTCCACCACATAAGACAGCCTCTCTGCCACTACAGATTCAAGCAACTTCCCAAGCGTAGACAACAAAGATATAGGTCTCCATGCCTTTGCAATGGTGTAGTCGGCTTTGTCTGGTTTCTTCAGCGGAATAATCTTGGCATGTCGCCACTGACTTGGCACTTGGCCTTGTTCGACGGAATTCCGAAAAATGGCTAATACCCAGTGTCTGACCACGGGCCAGACTTGCTTCCAAACCCAAGCAGGAAGCCCATCTTCCCCTGGCGCCTTCCATGACTTTGCTCTGTGCAGCTGTCGTTCGACTTCCTCCATTGTGATACTGGGCATGGGCACTGCTGACTCCCTCTCTGGCCTGTCACCTTCGTCTTGAGCATAACTAGCGTCCGCTACGACTCTCTCTAAAAAATTAGGCTTGGCGCTAAAAAGCCAAAAATGGGCATGCAAAGTGGGCGATTTCTTCGTGCCCAAAAATGGCGACACAGTGCGATTATTCTATGAGTACCTGCTTTTTATTTTTGGCTAGGGTACCCCTCTGTGCCGTCGGTTTCTGCATAAATGAGGTCGCAGTGGCAACCCCAGATCGACTGAGCCTTGGCGCCGCTGTAATAAGATCCATTTTAACTCGATAAAGTTTCGATTATCCCCTCCATCTCTCGCTTCAATGCCAAAATAATTATTTTATCAGAATAGCTCTTCTATGGAACGTCTCTAGACAAATGCTGGGTGATAACTACTACAGGGATGATTATTCACGTGATGCCTGAAGAAGTGGGCCGTGGATGGCGGAGGAAACCTATGGACACGTTGCAAAGAACGCTGAGGCCGGGTTTGGTATGCACTTGCGAGAAGCGACGAGGCATCTTCTGGCGTCTTATGCATGCGTGACCATGAGCCAATCTGACAACTGGCCAAGCGATGCGGATGATTGTCAAAGCCACTTGACTTCTGACGACGAGTTGTCTCAAAATGTTTCTACTGCTCCGAGGAGCCGCCTGAGACCTGCAGGAAAAGCCCCCGTAACACTGCTGTACGACTGCCAGACATCGGACGAAGACAAGCCAACGATTCCGTACAATGTTGAATGGAAACTGTCTGTAAAACATCGACGCCGTGCAGGTGAATCGGAAATAGGGATCACTATGTCCCCACGCAGGTTTTGGAGGCGTCTCCTACAACCGAAGTTGGAGACGGCGATGGAGAAGAAACCTTGCCGGGTGGATGACACAGAAATCGTGATGTCTACAACCCATCGTAGCACCGGACCCTTTCGAAAGCGTTTCGCAAACCTAGACATCGAATGGCTAGTCATTGAGAAACAGCTGCAAGACTGGAATGAGCTGCCCAATACAGGCAAGAAACGCAACCTGATCACTATTAACATAACGTTCGAAAGCACGTACATCGAGAGCAATAAAGTGACCAGAGGCAGGGCGACAGTCAATCAGCTGGAAGAATTACAAGCCAGAATCGGCGATGGGGCCGTTCTCAGCCGTGGCGTTTGCGTCAAGAAGGCGTTTGCCCTTATGAGGTGCCCTGGCCCCCCATGCAAAAAGGGCAGCGACCACTGCTGGCAGTCTGATGGCCAACACTACCCGCTTCATCCTCACCACGTGAAGATGCTAGCCGATCACTTACAAGCAGGAAAGCCACTTGATGGGCATGATGATGTCCCCGAAACTTTCCGCAGATTGGTTCTTGATGACGAACGTGACCGTCAGTCTCGAGAGGAATACGAACGAGCGAAACGCAAGCGGAAACGTTCAGATTCGGAGAATCTGAGCATAACTCCCCCGAACCCAGCTCAGCTTGCCCATGACGATCGCACGGCTATCCCAGCGATGGTGTTCCCAACCACACCCCTCATGGGCTTCGCGCAGCGTAGCGAAGACAATATCCGAGCGCATACCACATGGCTGAAACATGGCGCGTCTGATGAGCAGAAGGGACATTACGAGTTGATGCAGCAGCTGGCTTTGCGAAATAGTTATGACCTCGATTACATGCACAGTAATAAAGAACGGGTATGCGTCTTTTTTATGGACGAAGGTGTGCCCGAGGGCTTTGCATGGCGTTATGTCTCTGGCGTTCCATGGTTCAAGAAAGAACGAGAGAAAGCCGAAGGCAATTAGATGAATAGTTTTTTTCTTTAGCATTGCGAATGGTCACTGAGTTTTCCTTTTAATACTGTACAGCATCCTGTCTGTCGATTCCAGCCTTGGTAGATTGACCCTTCGCAATGCTCGTTCCAGTAATTTTATCCTCCCGCAAAAAGTCGGCGTTTTCATCAGCGCAAATGGAATGTTGTTTTCCAGAAAGGGTCAATCGTAAATTTGAGCCTTTCTGAAGTGACCTCGCGCCCATCTCTTCCCGATCTTACCTCGACCCAATATATTTATTTGCATGCGCAGATACGACTTGAAGTCGGCTTTGATGAGATCCTCGTGCTCCAAAGCTCGGGCGGCAATGTGCTGCTTAAGTGAACCAAAGAAATACTCTATCGGGTTTAAATCGGGTGAGTAAGGCGGTTGCGTAACCAGCAGAACACCCGCTTCGGCGAGGGTGGCTTGGACCTCGAGTGAAACATTGTGGAATGAGGCATTATCCATGAAGATCACCGATCGCGGTCCGGGGTACCTCCCTAGGTATGGCAGCAGCCTGAGGAGATACCCTTCGAAGAAATCCAAATCCGTATGGCCATCATATACTTCGCAATACAAAACGCCATCCAAGCTATAGGCCGGCAGAAAGGAAACCCTGTTGCCGCGATGGAATGGCTTTTTCTGAACCGGGGTTACGCCAATAGGAGCATAACCTTTTTTCGGAATCGCGACACTACGATCGTCTCCGCTCTCATCTAGAAATACCATGCATGTTGGTTCGAATAGGGATCGCCTATATATGTAATCGTCACGGAGTATTGGATTCTGTTCCTTGGCGAAAATGGCCATCTTTTTTCTCGACCATTTCATCCGCTTGATCAGCCGGCCGACAGTGAATCTGGAGACACGAACACCATATTCCTGGAAAAGATAGTCTGCCAGCGCTTGGTGACTCATGCTAGCACGGTCTAGCAGCTTTGCTTGCAATGCCAGCATCATGTTCTCTGTAATCTCCCTCGGTCGGCCGACGGGTTTGGATGGGGCATCGATCGTTGCATGTCGGATAATGTTGGAGCGGGCTCTACGCACGGATCTCTCGTCGCAGTTGATCACGGTTCTAGCTATCTCTTGGTCCTTGATTGTCTCGTCACCATTAAGTTTACTCAATATAATGCTTTGAAGCTCGTTTCGACGGAGTTTCGAAAGTCTGGGCGCCATATTCGGAGCAATGTAAAATAGCATGTTGCCACGTAAACCCCTGTTAAGTTACGGTACCTGAGATGGAGCCAGATTCGGAGGCGGATAAACATCAATGCCGAAAGTAGTGTCATACTGACCTGGAAGTAGCCAGTGCGTATAAGCGGGTAATTAGCACTATGTGGATCTTTTTTTTTTTCTTTAAACAGTATTAGTCTACGAGGACGCTAATTATGCTCAAAACAATATACAGTATTGATATTTAATATTTAATATTTAATATTAATATAATACATATAGTACGCTATTAAATTTATTGTTGACTGAGCGGAAGACGACGTGTTTGAATACCCTTTCGTCAAAGGGCCGATGCGTTCTGCCCCTCACTGTCAGGTGGCACAGTAGTTTTCATATCCCATAACTGCAGGCATGCCAGGGCGCTGGTTCTTCCACAGCGCTTCGGCACTAATCCATCAAGATATAATTACGTACTGACAAACGGACAAAATATACTATAAGAAGGAAAACGCAATCAATTGTATTGGAATGTAAGAGCTCAACCAAATTCCTAGGTGCATCTAAAGAAGGGAAATGGAAGCGGAGAAAGCACTACAGAACACAGTACTACGAAATTGACAAAGATCACCATGCTGATGAAGAAAACATAGAAACGAACAGCCAGAAGCAGCACTACTGCCCAGGTTTTACAGATCTCTCCTTACTGGCAGAAGTCAGACGCATCAAAACCATAACCATCAGTGACACCGCCGACAAGAGCGGCGTCTGGCTGCCCCCAGTGCTCGAGTGACAGATCAGACTGTGTACGCACTGACACCTCACTGAGGCTTTCAATCATGAGAGGTAGAGGAGGGGGCTCTAATGTCCTGATCCACTTCTCCATAATCTCTGAAAACCCCGAAAGCTCTTCCTTGGAGCTCTCGAAAGTGTTGATGAGATAAGTGACAAATGGAGTCTCCAGTTGACCAGCTCGCTGGGCCTTGAAACTACACATTCTTGGATGTCAGCCGTTGTCAACTCAAACACCATACACACTCACGTAGTCTGCTTTATACGCATCCCGGGTGCTATCAGGCCTGCAAACCCAAAATGCTTTGTAAATGTGAGCAAGGGGCAACCGATCCGCAGCCAAGACTCAACTCTTTTCCTCCTCGGATCTTTATCACTTAGCTTGTACATGTTGACGCCGGCACCGAAGATGCGCGCAGTCAACAAGTCCAGCGTTGTGTCACGAGCGCCGTGAATTTTATATCCCATAGCTCGCCAGGTAGACCGCCGGTTATCTTCATGAGATTTCTCCTGTACATAAATATTTGCGACATCGATCGCTAGAAGTCGCCATTCGAGTGTGTTGAAAGCTAGTCTGCTTTTAGCGTCACGACACCTTTTTTCTGCGTTATCAAAGAGCTTTGGCAGCTGTTCCACCCAAGGTAGATGTGGTTGAATGAGCTCCTGCTCGCGAGTCCTATTTCGTAGAGACTTGCAAAGTGCCCAGAAATCGTACAGATCCTCTCCGAGATCCGGTTTGATCATATTCGATTTAGTGACAAGGCCACTACTGCTGTGAGTGCAGGTCTTTCGTCGTTTCCTATCCCCATGGCACTGGCCATAATCGTCGAGGTTCCCTTCGTCAGAGACAGCGGGGATGGCCAGTTCAGAACGTTTACCGTCGGCTCCGCTCTCTTGAGGAGAAATACATGGCTCGCATGAGCTGGAGCGACTTGCCACCGATGTTTTGTCGTAGTCTTGATCGCCGTTGGCAGCGAGTGTTGGTTCTGGTGTCGGTGCTGGTGTAGAGATACTGGCTTCTGCAATTGTCTCGCGAAGTGAGACCACAATATCCGTCGATTCGGTCTCGTTGGCTAATCGTGAGCGTATGGATGAGCTAAGGACTTTACAAAAATCATTTTTGTTCAACTTCTTGATGAGATTCTCAATACGTGTTACGTTCTTAGCCATTTTGACACCTTGAACGTAGACCAGATCCGCAGAGTGAGGGACCTGGAATGAGAGACGAAGGGTCAGACACGAGAGGAGTGACGAACAGAATAGCGGGGTGCGCTGTGCTTAAAAGGTGACAGCGAGCGGTTGGCGCTAGTGCACCTGATTACGTAGGTGGATTATTTTTAGCGGGCTGGCCTGGTATGAGTCATAAGAATATTGCGTTAGGCCCTGAAACACATGGTCTTGCACGCAGAAGATTACTATACAAGAGATGTATGTTGGATGCGGCAATTGTAAGATTGGGTTTGTTCGGTTGACAGTTCTTCCTGAACTGTTTGGCTTCGGGAGGGTGGTTCTGCAAAACACATCTCGTGCCTGCGCCATGCGATCATGCCGCTAGTGCGGGTACAAGGCCCCGCCGAGAAATCTTGGGGAAGCACAGGAAGCCTCTGGAGAGCAAGCACCTCGAGTGGCCAAGGAGGCTTGTTGCAACTGGCGGTGTTCCGGGCGATTCTATGGGCTTCCAAATTCGCATCCCTGGCCCCGTTCAGCGCTGCTCTACAAGTTGGCCAGAAAATATTGGCGCAAGTGTCCTTCTGCGGCATAGCTAGGATATTTCCTGTATTGCGCGAATCTTCGCCAGACGCAAAATGCCAAGAGCAAGACATCGTGTCGGCTCAAACCGGATACTTTCAGCGAACAGGATATTCGGTTTTCGCCGCTGGGCTGGGAGGCCGTTTTATTGTGCGGGGGGCGCTGTACAGTGCGTCTGTACCAAACGAGGCTGCATTCGATTCTGGTACACGTCTCTCCACTGGAGGTAGCCTATAGTTGGTTTAGCGCATGCCCAGTGTGGCAGCTTTCTTCCAGTTTAGTGGCTGCTACAGGAGGCAAGCAGCGCCGCGACAAGGCCACGGAAGGCGTTGGCCCGCGCAAGCTAGCAAGACCAAGTTAACACCAGCTAAACCAGGAATAGTGAGGCAGCTCCCAATTCAGCCTGAGGCTGGCCCTGTCTGTTCATGGCGCACTCAGGTGCTTGCAAACTTGTTCCCCCAAGACTTTCAGGCGTTGCCCAGCCAGTGTAACTGCTTGTAGGCATGGTTTTGCACGCAAAACCGGTTCACTAGTTGTGGCACCACAACGCCGTCCACCGTCTATATAAAGAAGTCAAAACATCATCCTGCAGCAGAGAAAAAGATCGTTTATGTCATACGCCCAAGATCAGCCGAAGAAATGGGACAGAAGCAACGAAAACTTCAAGAAGAGGTGGCGTACTATCGTAAAGAATGGCTTCCTAACTCACCACGACTATCATGCGGATGTGTATATTTTACTGCGCCGAAAAGGCCAAGTCTATGTGTTTAAATCTAGTGACCGAGCCTGGCCGTTGACGCCCGAGGACTTGGTGCGGGCACACCACTGAAAATATACCTCTCAGCAGACTAACGAAGATCTATAGGAAAAATGTTTCCCGATGGTGCAGCAAGCCAACGCGACAGACATGCAAATTAACTGACACCAGTCATCGATCTACGACCGATTGAGACGCCACTTTAAAACTAAGAATATGTTTTGCAGACAGGTGATACGCCACCTGGAACTGCTGGTACCTCGATAGCCATCGCTTAACCCCAGTGTTTCCTCGATTGGCACCTAGCAACGGCGGTGATAGAAAGAGCCCGGACTCATCTACTAAAGAATGAGGATAATCAAGTTATATATAAAATGGATTACTGTATCGAATTCGATCTGACCCTTTAGCTACTTGTGATATGTTTCCTCTAGTTACCAAGTTTGCTAGCTGCCGTACTTCTGGCTTCGCAGCACTTTCAAAACCCCTGTCAAGCTCAGGGCACGCGCCTGAGCTTGTGGATCCCCAGGTACGTACCGCTGACACCCTGTCCATTCAGCCGCCAGGCTCTCGTAAACCATGTCAAGCTTCAAAACGGCCATTTCTGGATGTTCAATCTGTTATAAAAGTCGCGCCTCATGGGCGCCCGCTGTATGGATTTATTTCCTCCTTTCACACCACCTAGTCGCTGTAGAAATGACTGACTCGCCAAGTATCATCACCACGCCATCGCCTTCTCTGTCCAACCTTACTGAAGACAGCCCCATTCATCGCTGTAGTATCAAAGAGGTCTGTCATTCACTCCCGCCGTATGCACTGCACCTTTGCTCACCTTTGCAGGCTGTCCAGGCTCTCGTGTATGGTATAAGCCATAACCAAGCAGAGGTGGCGGCGTGTGTTGCCGCGCACCCTGACTCTGTGCCACTGATCTACAGTGTTCTTGCCACTGCAGAACCTAGCAACCTCCCCACACCACCAGCACAACCCTTAGGCCTCGAGGCGGTAGGTGCTGCTGATGAGTCCAGCAGCAGCGACGAACCCCCTAGTTCCGTAAATCCGCACGCGACAAGCAAAAAGCCTGACAACGCCTATAAACGCGCTGTAGCCATGGCTAATCACCTTACCCGGGAGTTAGGCTCCGTGAATATCTTGACCGAATTACACAACTCTCCCCTGTAAAAATTCTTCCACTTTTGCAGCTGTTAGCAGCTGTTAGTGGCGGCGTTTTTACAGGCCCACTGACCTGCGGTTTTGATGGCTATGCGCTAGCATGCCCTAGCAGCCACAAAAAGGAGAACTTTGGAGAGTTCATATTCCTCTTGAGCCGCTCGTCGCGACAAAAAGAAAGCCCTTAGGAGTCCTTGTATAAGGACTAAAAAGGCAACACACGCTTCCTGCGCACTATCTCTGGCTGTTGAGGGTTTTCCCGAGCTATACTATAGCATAGGTTTTTTCCCCTCTTCCTGTGAGAGAATTCTAGCTGGAGGAGTCCAGGAAGCACATAGAATACATCGTCGTGATCCCGCTGACGGGTATCGATACCGACAACCATTTGCCTTCGGGCGCGAAACTGCTACAGCTGGAGGACGGTTAGATGGGGGAATTCCCCGGGGGTATTCCGTTGAGAGCATGAGCGTGACTTGTCGCGTTCTGTGGAAACCTACTAAGTGGGTGCAATCATGTAACAGCAGTCTGTTGATAGCTCGATAGCACGTCTTAAAGCCTACTCTAGGGCGCAGTAAAAGACGTTAATTTACACACACACACACATTGACCGAATTACAGCACGATTTACAGCGTGAGAGGGCCCGAGCCGATCATAATGCACAGCGTGCAAAGCCAGAACTGAGGTCGCAGAGCGAACAGGGGGCTGGCAATCATCCCGATAATTTGGAAGACGATTGCCACAGCCTACAGCCCAGTCCACGTTTCAAGACGGCCGCTGAAAGGTACTCGTGTATAATAATCGCACAACGCTACCATGCTGCCAAGCGCAACAAAGAAAAGCACACATGTTCAGTCGCCGAAATTTTTGCTAAAAAGTATTTACCGGACAAGGACAAGAAGGGTCTGCCAAAAAAGAAATTGCAGGACAGATGGAAAGCCATCATGCACCAACACAATTTCTGGGAACAGCTGGCGACCTCTTGTGGGGGGGCCGGCGTGTTGCTGCTGCTGCCCGCAGAATTTCAGAACGAGCAGTGGGTTTGCCCGTCACCAACAACGACCACTTAAGCTAACTTGTACAGCGCACGACGACTTAAAATCAAGGATAGGTATGCACTGTTCGCGAGAATCGCAGCGAGGCATCCAAACTTGAAACATGATATCACAGCCCTCACGGATATTTTATCATACTTTTTCTACACCAAAACCTTGCCAGAGTGGACCATACTTTTGGAGAATTTGCCTGAAGCGGACATCGTCATAAAAGGATTACCTGAACTGCTCAATTGTGTCGAGATCAATCCTCAGTTTGCGGTCGATGGTGGAGACGCAGCAATGCTTCCTAATGAGCAGCCGCTAAATCCACTGATTGACTCAAGCATGTGCGAGTACGAATATACAGAAGACGGACTTGCGGAATGTACGCCGCTATCGCTTGCTCATGACCCAGAATTTATTCCTCCCGGCTCGGATGTTGTGCCAGAAGGGCTGAGTTTTGATACTGTTGTTACAAACGGTGTGGATGAGAGCTTGCATGCGGACTCGTACATGGAAATGTTAATGAGTTCTGATAAGTTCCAACTGTTTGGTCAATAGTGCTTTTGATGGATAATACTCACCCTACAGTACAATGCTTTCGCTTTTGGGTGGACTGGAGAGTGACACGGTGCCACTCCGTAGCTCTGAGATGGCAGACATGGGCGCCACGGTACTAAAGCAGGCCCGCAACACCTGCCTTGGCCGAGTCGTCCACGATACAAGTACCAGATGTAGTAATAAAGCGTTTGCGATATATTAGCGCGAGTATTATTATGTGTCTGAGAATTGCAGTTCAGTATTTGTCAAGGCGCGAGGTTGCACTAGGAGATGGTGCTGGTGCGTGGCTGGCGCGGCGGACCCGGGTAGTGTTGGTTACACAACCTTGTCTGTGGAGGCTACGCGCACTAGCAATCAGTATATAAATGGTGCATCCCCTGTCCTTTCCGCTGACTTTATCTCTCCTTGTCAATATTAGCAATGTATGAGTCTACGCTTCTCTACTCTATCGCATTTGGTGCTTTCTTTGGCCTGCTGGTCCTCCGCCAGCCTGTTTACATTTTCGCGCGTGCACTTTGTCCAGCTGCATTGCAGCTTGGGCTGTCGCCCTTCCTTGTCGTAGGAAGATACCTTTCCATCTACCTCGTCTACCCGACCGTGCTCAATCGGCGAAAATTTATTGAACGTTGGAGTTGTGCCGACAGCTTGTTGCTGCTGGCCTACATTTTGGCAACGGGGGTCTGCGTTGTGATTCCTCTCCCAGATATAGATCAGATTATCACTCGCACCGGAACGCTCTCGGTGATAAATTTGCTATTTTGTTTTGCAAGCCCATGTCTGGGCATGTTGGCAGACATTCTGCACATTTCACTACATTCCTGTCGTCGCCTCCATGCGTCTTTAGGGACTCTGGCTTTCGTACTGGCGGTTATTCACGTGGTCGTAGGCGGGATCACCACTAGAGGGCTCAATTTGCAAACGCCAAAGAACGTATTCGCACTAGTGGTTAGTAGATGCGTCCAACTTCAGAAGGTGCTAATACTAAGGCTCGCAGGCCATTTTACTTCTATGCGCCCAGATCATACCACTGATTCTAAGAAATATCTGGTTTGAAGCAGCCTTGCGCTTGCACCAGATATTGGCAATCGCTTTTCCATACGCTCTCTGGCGCCATATCAGATCCGGCCAACTCCTCCCAGGCTTGTACGTGATTATAGGCGGTGCTATGTTACTTACAAGCTCTGCTATTTTGCTTGGCTGCGTCATCTATCGCAATGGCTCGGGTCTCTCCCTGGCTCAGATGTCGTTTGTCAAGGGTACGACCCAAATCCGGCTGCATCTGTCCCGCCCTCTCAAGGTAAAAGCAGGGCAGTACATCGATCTTTGGGTTCCATCCGTGAGCCTGTGGTCTTTTGCGTAAACGCACCCCTTCATCGTTACATCCTGGTCTAAGGAGCCACAGAAGTATCTGGACCTATTCATAGAGCCTCGTCGCGGCTTTACTCGAAATCTTTTGAAGCTGTCGGAACATGGCTCGTCAACAAGCATGGCGTGGTTCAGCGGACCCCATGGAGAGCCAACTCCAGTTAGCCGATACGAAAATGTTGTCATGCTGGCTCCTGAGTCTGGAATTGCCGCTCACTTGCCCTATCTAAAGAAGCTGACGCATGATCAACGCAGCCATGTGATTCCAGTTCGCCGGGTTCATCTCATATGGCAAATGGGGCAAAGAGGTACACAGCCATCATTTATCAAGATTCAGTCACTGACATGCTGTAGATGTAGGAATTGCCGCACAAAAGTTGCTGAATGAAGCTCTGGCTGAAGACAAGCTCAATGGACAACACGTACGTGCCCAATGCGTTCATTGGATCACATGCTTATACTGCGAGGCAGAATCTGCGCATATTTATTTATATTACAGCCGAAAGCATAAAAGAAATGGATTTCGGCAGTAGATCTACAGCGTATCAAGGCCCAATACCGCTCGCCGATGTCTTGTCCTCAGAGCTGAAACAACGACGACGCGGAAGCAAGACGGTTATTTCAGGCACGTACTCCCACTACAAGAAAAAAAAACGATGACTAATTTGCGAAGTCTCTATGTGCGGTGCTATGCGGGACGCCTTAATAAACGTGATGCGACGTCAGCAGTACCGTGGTATAGATGTCAGGTACGCGGAATACCAGCCGTGATATGGTCGCGGCGTTATGTGCAGTCTTTCGGTTCTGGAATATGCAATCTGTCTTTGTTGTTCCTATGTGCTATCACTCCCTAGTAACAGCTAGATTTCCAAGAGTCCGCGCTGCCCATCTCTCTTGCCGCTGTTGCTGGAAATCTGTATCCAAGGCCCACACATGTATTTGTGAAGCAAATCAGGCCTGCGAGCCGACTCTTATGCCAAGGAAGCTTTAGTAAGGCGTTTTATAATAGTCAGTACAATCTTGGTCTTGCAAAAAAAACCTATGTGTTTTACTTCAGTAACGGTGCTTAATTTGGATGCTGTTTGTGTGGCGGAGAGAAAATCGAATGCCAACGGGAATCGCTGGGGCTCATCCAGGCCCACAATCCCATCATTCCTGGCCTGGCCATGAGCAAGGTACATGATAATTTCCCCCAGAGCCTCGACATGTTGATATCTCCCGGCCGACAGTTTGATATGTTCCTGGTTCCCTGTCTAGATTAGTAGGGAAGATTGTTTCATAGCTTGGGCGTGGCTTACATATCTTAACATTGCCAAACAAGTCTACTAAGACGTTGGAACAGGTAAGACGCGAGTGCTCGAGACCATTTTGTTCTAGGTACAGAAGCCCATCAACGATCTGCGCGAGATTAGAGGCGGATTGGTTCAATCGCAGACAAGGAGCATACCTGTCCCACTACCGACGCCAGTCGTACATCATTCAGAAGAGGATTGCCTGCAATTTCACATAGTGCGAGGGGCATGAATTCGAATGACACAAGGTATCCCTCATCTATGAGGAGATATTCCTTGGCATCGACAAACCGATTGTGCTGAATTCTGCGTATCGCTTGTATCTGGCTTTTTGCCGCAGGGCCGGTAAAATTCTTAATAATCACGACTGATTGCCTTTCTGGATAAGATCGGTCCTCTGCAACGGTGAAATAGTCACTCTCCCCAAGCTGGAGGTCACATAGTCGTCGGTAGGTGTCCTGTGGTACTTTAACAGCCACTTGCGCAGTGGTAATTGAGTCGTCGTTTTTCTTTGTAGGCAGGCGATCGTCCGTTGGCGTAGGTGGACACAGTTTTTTCTTAAGTCGCTTGGGGGCAGGCGGGTCCCCGGTCGGCGTATTGCGGTTCATGACCATTGCATCGTCTGCGAAAGGTATATTTTGTATCTTCACATCTTGCAGTTTGATCTCTGAGTTTCGGATTTTATTGTATTGCACACTCATTGCAACTGGAAGCTTGCCGTGCTGGATAAAAAAAACAGCAGCTTGCCACGCGGACTAGGTGTGGGCGTCGCGCATTTATACAAGACTGGTGGAGAATGGTAAAGGTTGTGTCATCAAAACGATTTGCAGCATGAGTATAAGAAGGCTCTTTTCCACCGGACAATTTGCATCCTTTTTCTCTCAGAATTGACGAACGCTGTAAACTATTCTGCAGCATGGCTCGGAGTGGATTTCAGGCGGTATCGCACCGTATATGTGCGGAGAAAAGCCTGAAGCATGCTGGTACGGCAGAGGTTCAACTCAGCATTCTAGACTTTCCGAACTCAATCAACGCGAACAGTAACAACGTAAAGCGATTGATCAGGCTGTTCAAAAACCAGCGTGGCTATAGCCCAGCGGAACGACAACATCGCATACCAGCAGTCATTGATGCGGCAGATTTACACAGAGCACTGGATGCCTCCGGGTACAGTCGCGAGTCACTTCTGTCATGTGGCAGTAGACCTCCCAGGCTGAAATTCCCGTCCGGATTTCGTATACAATGTTTGCGTGGGCGTGACAGGGTTGAAGCTTCCGGGGAAGTGTCTCGTTCGGCAGATCCGCATTGGGTCGTCGACCTCTACATCTCAGGTTTGTGGCATACGCAGTCAACACTCAACGCTCGATCTAACCCAAGGAAGATATCAGCGACGAAGCGAAGAAAGATTTGATGGAAGAATACTCGAACGAGAAGAGGCCAGGCGATGGCGTATTTTTCCTTAAAATACGGGAATACCAGGGTATGTTCGGAGAGTACAATGAATATCTCAAACAGAAATGGTGGGCACGTCTTGGTGCGATTACAGACTCGGCCCACAGAAAGAACCAGCTCAAGAGGCTCTTTGAACATGATGAGTTTGCACCGGCATTTGACGCCTTCCGCCATTTGCCAGCCCTATACTGTGGGTTGCGGCTAAGCGTCATCAATAAAATGATAGCCATGAGATGTCACGATGTAAGTTGGGATCACGCCTTCTTCTATCGCTAGACTGACGGACAGGAATTGCTGTCATACCTGCGCTTCATCAAGGATTTTTGGTATGGTGTCTTTGACAAAGATGAAGCTGCGATGGAGAAACTCGATGAAGACACCGTTCGCGAGATTCAGTTCACCGCACCCGGCGCATGCGAACGGCAGGCCCGTCATCTGTATGCGAAAGTCAACAGTGGCCAGATATTCAGCGCATTCAGCGACACCGAGAGAAACAGAATTTGGTTGCGACTTTGTTCAGCCACCGAAGTCTGCTTGGTGCCTTCGCTGCTCGCCTTCTTCGAGAACCTCAAGTACCTGCAGCCTGCAGCGGTCTGCATGCGACGACTCGTCCACCTAGAGAAGGGAGAATCCATACGATGTGCCTTGGAGAAGGCATTCTCTCCGGGTAATGGCAACGAGTGCGTCATGCAGACCTCTTCGACATCCTTCACGACCATTCCGATCAGTGCCGCAGATTGCTTTGACATCGCGTACCGACAGTTGTGGCTCTATGCCCTGCGCGAGCAGCGGGACATGCCAATCAAAAGCAAAGAAAAACTGGCGACGGCGAAGATACGACAGGCCGATGAGGTCGTGGTATCTCGATTCGCGCGTCTGGCGCAGAAGCTCGGTTTCAAATCAGAAGAGATCAAGGCCTTAGTGCAAATGAACCCGGACCAAGAGATTGCGCGTCGACTGCTGACAACAGCCAGAAAACCGGAGGAATTCGAATTCGACGATATCAACGCCAGTATCGATACTGTCGCGGATGTGCTGGCCACGGCGCGGCCAATCTCCGCGCAGCTATTGACGGAGGATGATGAAATCGATTCTGTCGAGAAACCACCAGCCCTGTGCGGCCAACCCCATGCAGCGGACCATGCTCGGGATAAAAGGGATATGTTCCTAGACAAGCTTCACGGGCCAATGCCGAGACCTCGTTTGCGTTTGACATCCATCTTTATTCAGCGATCAGCATACTTTGCCTTCTTCGGCCAAGACCTCGGCATTTCCGCGGCCGGTCTGGAATCAACGGAAGACACGCACATGCTTGACCATAGCAGTAGACACGAGCAACGCTTGCCCATGATGTCAAGAGCACAAATGCCTCAGCAAGTACTGGAGGCCGCAGAGCGGCGAACAAGCATACCAAGGAGGCTGGAGGAGCAAGAAGCGAGGCTGGGACGGGTGGTGGCCACCGAAGAGCAGCTTTCTGCAAATATTGAACAGCTGAGAAACGACATGGCGCTCCAAGAAATGAGACTTCTTACACTGAGGGGTGAAGAGCAGGAGGCGCTTCAAAGGCTCAACAGACTACAGCAAACAGAAGCCGAGCATACGCTTCGTTTAGAGAGTCTTCAGGCCGACGAGCAAAACCGACAAAACGAAATTGTTGCGCAGGAACAGAGACGAGCCAATCTTGGCGACCAGATTCGGCTCGATCTCTTGGGTCCTGGCGAGAAAGAGCACCTGGCCACTGTTGAGAGAGACGAGGAATTACGTGATCACGCATCCGCGCGACCGGAGCGGGTATCGCTGGTGGAAGACTTGACGGTGGAAGAAAGAAAACTGCAGGTCGCGGTGGAGCAACTAACGCTGCAGATTGCCCAACTCGACGAGGAGAAGGCGAGCAAGGAGGCGTCTATAGCAGAAGTGGAGGGCCAGCACAAGTTAACGGTTAACCAGCTCGTGGCTGAAGAAGCAGAATTACGAAACCAGATCGACCAGCTGAAGAGAGATCTAGCGGGTCTTCAAGCTAGACTCGATGCAGGCGCTGGACGGCCGACAGAGCTACAGCAGGAGCAAGCATTGGAAGAGGGGGTATCTCCCCCACCAATAGCGTCGAGCTACGACCTACCCGGGACCGCGACCAACGAACATTTCGCAGCAACAGAAGCGCCTGAAGGCCTAGATGGACAAGAAATTCAGGGAATTGGCATGGAACAGGCTGTGAGGGAGGTTTTGGGTTCCCGTTCTGAGGTTTCAGACACTGCAAGTAGTTACCAGGGACAATCTGCGTCCTCCCCGTCAGTGATTCAAGACGAGATGGCAGATGAAGTGCCAGAGGCTGAGTTTACTTCGCAGGTCAGTTTATATTCACCCCATCCTAGCTGACGCCAAGTCTAAAAGCTACAGGTCTCTTCTCAAGGAGCAGAAACAGTGTGCATAGAGTTCAAACTTTTAGTAGATGGGGAGTGGAGGACGCAGCAGAGCGTTGTGGTAGATCCCGCTGAGCCGTCGGCCGTGCAGCGGCTGGCGGGCAAGTATATGCGCAACGGGATGGGACTTTTTGATAGCGAGAACCAAATGCTCCGTCCGCAGAACTGCTTTGGGCGAGTGACAAGCGACGGAACACGTACTATTCATCTAATACCAGAGTGGAATGCCATCAAGGAGAGAGACGCAGCATGGCGACCGCGAAAACGCAGTCGAATTCATTAAAAAGCCCGACGTGGGTGATGTCCATTGGGTGGTAGGAGTTTTGCGTGCCAGGTCATTTATGTGCTAGGAACAAGTAGGGCTAGGATGATTGATTCGTGCTAGGAGCGTATGGTGCTAGTCAGTGTGTGCTAGGGCATGCATGCCATCACTAACGACGGATGGGATCTGGGGTGGTCTGGCACCTTTGGGCTGGGCTACAGTGGGTGCTGGGTCTAGCGTACCAGCACACGGAATAGCATAGCCCAAAGGTGCTGGCCTGTACGGGTGCCAGCACAAAATTTTGGTTAGCGTGGCCATGGCCACTGGCTGCGCTGTCCTATTGAGGATAGCGCCTGTCGTGGACATCCACCCATGGGCAGCCTCCGCCTTTGATAGTCGTGGCTCCCCCGTGGACAGCCACCCACGGCTTGCCCCAACCATGGATGTCCGCCGCGTGCGATCGAGGATGTCCATCGGTGGATGTCCACGACAGGCGCTATCCTTAGTAGGACAGCGCAGCCAGTGGATGACCTGCTGGTGGGTTACCACTGCTCACTAGCAACTATCACGACTTTGACATCCTAGTTTGTTCGGCTGCGCTATGAGGAACCAATAGCGCCCTCTAACCCTAAGCCCTGCCAGCCCGTCTTCTGACAACTCAGCCTCCGACTCCCCATCACTATGCACTTGTTCGATTGTCTCAGGTGGGAGGAGACTAGATATTGTCAGCGTTTTCAGGGCAGCGGAGCTAAGGATCCTTGTCTTACCGAGATCTAACGTGCGGTGGATATCTAATTGCTTGAGGTCGTCTTTCGCACCCTCTAGAGCCGCGAGCTTCCCGTTATACCGATTCCTTTCTAGCATCATTGCATGACTCTCTGTTGCAATATGAGCTATTTCGGCATCTCGCAGGTCCAATATAGTCTCTGATGGAAATAAGGCCGGCAGTCTGCTGATCAGACATCGCTCCACAGTCAGCACACCAGATGAAACAGTGTAAATGGGTAGCTACTCGGAATTACGGGCTTTGGTTACTGCACCATGGCTCACTCTCAGAAATTTTACGTTTGACTAGCGAGCCTAGAAGGCCATGACGCGCAATTCATCATCGCAGATTACCGCATAGATAGGCTTTACAAAGGTGTTAGAATATCTTTGCTTGAATACATCCAACGCTACGGGCGCGAACGCTGCAAGAAAACGCTGTATGTCGACTGCTGATCCGGTAACGGCGGCAATTAAACAGGTGATGTGCTACCCGGGCGGTTCTTAGATACAAGTCCTCATCCAAGACAAGTTGTAGCGTGTATAACATTGCCTGGCATCTATCCATTCGTCTCAAGTTTGATTAAAGCCCTGCACATGTTACTCATGCCTATTGATACCTTCTCTTCTTACATAACATTTTTTCCCGTTTTATTTTAAGTCACCGCCCCTTTCCATAATCTGTCTTTTATTGTTCTAATCATCACATCCGAATTTATTCATGAATCTGCATTAAACCACTTCGTCATGAGAGTTTCGGCATAGCACACGATGAACATGCCTCTTGCACCTTATCACATTGTTGAAGTGCTCACGCCGCGCCGATCCATCCCTCCAGGTGCCTCTTTAAACTATACCAATGATGGCCAGGGTGCTTTGCGAGGAATTTTGACGCTGTCTAACAGGAGATGTGTCCACGCAGCTACCCACGAATGCCCTTTTCTGGCCGACTCCAACTCGACCCTGTGCACCGTGTGCGCCATTGCAAAAGCCAGGGGGCAGGCCTGCACATAAGACTCGAGTCGTATTGGAAGTCTAATGCCGCGCAGTCAGAGCTGTCACGTCGGTTAAAGCTGTGGGCAGGACGATTGTAGGCATGCCAAGCCACATGGGCCTAGAAGAGAAGGAAGACAGGTCAAAAGTGTCATCAGGTACCTTGGAAATTATGTGGGCGAGACTTTTCAGACAACGCATGGAAGCCAGTCTTTGTGCATGTCATATATGGGCTCACCCAAAGTGTGCGGCGGATCCCACGACGAACCAATGTGAGACGACAAGGAAAACGCCTGCTCGCTCGATAGAACGATAAGCCCCTTGTCATAAGCAGGCAATCAGTGGAAACAGCCTTCAGATCTGCGAATGGCAAAAGCTGAGAAGAAATACGCGGATATTAAACCAAATTGATGGGGCATGTATATCAACACGAGATTTTGAGCTGGAAAAGATGGTTCACTGTGCATTCGTTTCTTGCCTGTTTAGAAGGTTTCAGTGGGAAAGCTTACCGAATCTCGGGCTGGTAAAAGAATGGTTCCCGGGTAGGTGGCAAGTCCTATTGTGGCGGGGATCTAACTGGTTAGGCTAGCCCAAAGACCGAGACGGGTGGCACAGCGAGGAACCAAGTGTACCGTATATTTGAAGCTTCTATCTGGCCAATTCTATTGGGTTCGTGTCGTTGGAACTGCAGTTGATACGTGGTGAGCGTCTGACGCGACCAAATTGTGTCTCAGTTCTGGAGTGAGATGGAAGAACCGACAGCAGAAAACACTTGTCTCGCTTTTGAGCTCTTTGACAGATACTGTTGCGCCTACCAAGGCACGGGTTCGAGTGCAGCCCTCTCATTGGCTGGGACCCAGGAAGAACCCACTTTTACTGTACGATAGCCTCAGTGTTGTGGAGCAGCCACACACTCACTTGTAGGAACAAGCATCAGCAACAATAATAAAAGACCAATAACCCTACGATAATTATCGTCAAGTGTAACCAACAGATACGGATGCCTGAACCGCCAATACTACGAGCACAACTTCAAGCGAGGCTCCGGTGCTTGGGGCCGTGAACTAGACGGCGGAAATATTCTCTTGTTCGAGAGTATTAGCATCACCTTGCCGAACGCCGTCGTGGACTTGGTACACAACTCGTTAAGGCAATTCTAGACAAGGTTTGTCCAAAACGAACCGATTTGTGGCACCAGCCAGACCTGGCCCGTCGCTGAACGCCCCGCTTCGAAAGGCGAAGCTTGTTCGTGATCTTGTCCAAAGACACCGGCTTTCCGTCTGACTCTACTCAAAAGACCAGTTGGTTACCATTCTTCGCTCTCTTCTCGACGATCGGATATTCGAGAGCGACTATATAGCTCGGCATAATTTCCCGGAGCTTTTCCATAGCCCTGAACCACAGCCTGCCCCAGCTACGGCCACCAACGTGGAGACTTCTGCGTCTGAGTCCATCATGGCTCTACAGGAGTCCATTAAAGCTTCGGTGTTAGAAAAGCGCGCCCGGTAAGCAAGCCTCGCGAATAACCTCCTTCCTGCACCTGCTTATTAGCTCGCCGCTGCTTATAGTTTGTTCGATACTGGCGACCAGTCTGACATTATAATTAGTGCTGGAAAAAAAAAATACTATGCTCACCAAATTATAATTTGCGAGTTCTCCGATGTGTTGAAATCCTCGTGCCAGTTTGAGCGGCAGCGAATAACGTCGACCGCCGAACAAGCAACCGAAGAGGAGGCAAAGCAGCTTCAGAGCAGTGCACGCCCTCTTAAGCTGACATTTGACCTCTCGGCACATGACCCAGTCGCGGTCGATTGTATGTTGCAATTCTTTTACCGCCTATATTATAACTGTCAATCCGTTATTGCAGGGGGTGGTGATGTCATCTCTGAAACAGCCGAAGGCGAAAGAGTTATCCAGCCTAGCTTGTCAACCCATGTTCTTGTTCATAAGATTGCAAATTATTACATGGTCGACGAACTCAAGAAGCTTGCCTTATTAAAGTTTACCGCGGAGGTAAAACAAGCAGTTCAGCCGGAAGATTTTGTTGCTGCTACCGAAGAAGCATATCGTGACATGCATGAGTGTTTCGACGCATTGCGCAAAGAGGTCATTTATGCAGTCCATCGCCACCGAAAACAGCTGCTCCCAGACGCTGGGGTCCAAGATTTGTTGTCTTGCAATGGGGTTATAGGCTACGATAGCCTCTGTTATTTCGCAGAGAGATTCTAAGTCAAAAGTTAGCATTAATATTAGATGTACATTTATTTATTAATTGTTTTATGACGCCTGTTGGCTTCCAGCTAATAGGGCTCACTAGCTATTTATAGGTATATTTCTGGCCACTCGCCTTATCCCTTCCACTTCATCCCTATCGTTCTTAGTTCTCTCCACTTCGTCTTTTCATCCCTAGCATCTAACATTCCGCGTGATTTATTATTAATAACTAACTAGCTTAAGGGCTATTCCCTAAGTGTTCAGCGTCCTATCTATAGCAGCCAAAGCGTCGCTAGTTATGCTCGCCGCGGACGTGGTTTTATGGTCTGATAAAAAGCCCTTTTATACTAATTCGCCTATTAGTTATTGAAACGTCCTATGGCTAGTGTGAACTATATCGTCGCTCAGATTGCTCCTATATTTAGTTTCTATTTTAGTCTATCTAATGCTAATTTTCCCCCTAGTCAGTACGATAAATCGTTCCATGGCAACCCCTACATTCGCGCCCGGGCGCGGATTTAGAATGCCGCGCCCTGCTGACTAATTTTCCCGCGCCCCCTTTCAACACGCTGTCGCACAACCATGAACCACTTCGTACTTTCGCCATGTCCCAAACAGTATTCCCAGATGATGTGCTCCCCCCAGAGGGTGTATACAATTCACGCGAATCTCTCCTTAGCGCCATTAATTCATGGGCAAAACCTAGAGGCTATGAATTTACCACGGGAAAGTCGACGAAGACACCCAATGGCCGGGTTAAAGTTGTGTTTGCTTGCGATCGCAACGGGCAACAGCCAAATGCCGCCATACAGCGAAAACGGTCTGTAGCCGAGGAACAGGATGCAAGTTTTCTGTGCTTGCCAAACAGTCTTTCGATGGAGCAGCATGGGTTCTCAGTCATCGACCCGGACTGGATTTCTCTCTCCACAATCACCCGCCAAGTGAAGACCCATCTGCACACCCAGCACATCGCCACCTTACTGGGGGTGATTCCAGGGTCATTTCTAGTCTTGCGGCTGCTGGGGCTGCTCCTCGTGAAATCAGGACGTACCTCTGTAACAATTCCACGACACTTGCAACTCAGAAAGATATCTATAATCGAATTGGGGCAGCGAGGAGAGACCTACGGGAGGGCCAAAGCAGCATACAAGCACTAGTCGACCAATTGCATGAGGAGGGCTTCCACTACAAGGTTCGGCTGGATTCTGATAATCGGCTTACAGCAATATTCTTTGCCCATCCGGACTCAATCGCATTTCTCCAATGCAACCCCGCTGTTCTGCTCCTTGACTGTACCTACAAGACAAATAAATACAGCATGCCACTTCTTGATATGGTTGGCGTTGACGCTTGCGAGCGCTCCTTTTGTATTGCCTTTGCGTTCCTCTCCGGTGAGACCGAAGAGGACTACTCATGGGCTTTGCAACATCTTCGGTCGCTCTATCGGCGTGACCTTCCCTCCGTTGTCTTGACAGACCGGTGTTTGGCCGCGATGAATGCGGCTTCAACCTGGTTCCCTTCATCCGGAGGTCTCCTCTGCACTTGGCATGTAAACAAAGCGGTGTTGCAATATTGCCGGCCTGTCTTTCTAGCTGAAGGTAGCCAAGGAGAAAGGAGATGGGATGAGTTCTACAAGGCCTGGCATACAATCGTAGCCTCTCCGACTCAGATGAAATTTCAGGAGCGCCTGGCCGATTTCGAGCGGAAATATGCCGAGAAATTTACAGATGCGGTCGGCTATGTTAGGACAATCTGGCTTGACCCGTTTAAAGAGAAAATTGTCCGAGCATGGATCGACAGGTACTTGCACTTTGGCAATGTGGCTACCTCCAGGCAAATAGCTCGTAGTTTGGTTGAAGACGGAGGGACTAATCTATCTTCTAGAGCCGAGGGGATTCACTCATTACTGAAAGCACACATCAAGATATCTACCCTCGATTTGTTCGATGTTTGGCAAGCCATGAGACCTGCACTCACCAACCAGCTGAAGGAGTTGAAGTATGTGCGTGCTTCTCTGGACGTCTCTGGCGTGGTGTTTGAGGCGGTGCGGGGCTGGGTCTCTCATAGAGCCCTACGTAAAGTGCAGGAACAACGACAACTGCTTTCCAAGCCACTCAGAAGCCCCTGCACCATGACCGTTACATCCTCCTTTGGGCTGCCGTGTGTCCATACTTTGAAGAAGCTCGAGGAAGAAGGCGGAGCGTTGTTACTCGAGCATTTCCATCCCCATTGGCACTTGAAACGAGATATGTCAAGACCACATCCAATATTAGAGCCTAGAAAAGCCCCGAGCCTGCTCAACCAGAGACGCAAGCAGCCAGCAACTAGCACAAGGCGAGAGCCTAGCGCGTTCGAGACAATTGAGGCAGCAGCACATCCAAAGGCACTGCCGAAATGTAGCATGTGTCACACAATAGGTCACACAATGACGTCGAAGTCATGCCCCTTACGATATACAGAGCTCTTTCAGCCACCAGCATCGGTCACCGAAACGACAGCACACACAACGAGCATCGTGGTATCAGATGCAGTGGCAACGACAGTCGCAGAGGCGACGATAGCTCATGCGACCATAGGCCAGAAAGACGAACATCTCATGGTAGCGATGCAAGCACCAACGGACAACGTAAGAGGCGACCATACATTAGAAGTCCAGGCGCTGGCAGATCGTGAGTCTGGTAGCCATACATCTACAGTTGAGACAGTGGCAGATTGCATTATAGTCAACTCGACAGTCGTACAACAGGCAGCGGTAGCCGAGTCATCAGCGGTGGGAAACTCAACTGCGCCAAAGCTCAGATACAACGACCCGCAAGCAATCTACCAGAGATATGTTGAGTCGAGACAGGCTTGGTACGATACGCAGCCGCGTGGCAGTATCAAGACAAACCAGCAGTATCGAAAAGCAACGGGTTTACCCCAGCGGTACAACAGGGCGGAGCTTGCTTGGTGCCTTGATTGGAAGCAGATGGGTAAGCAATGTAAAGAGCAAGAAAGGTCCAGAGACTGGACGAAGGAAGAAATGATGTCGTATCTGGATTGGGACAAGGCAGAAGAAGACCGAGTTGAAGCAAAGGTAGCAGCTGAGATGGAAGCGAATCCCTTTTCTGACAGACGAGGCATGGGGGTGACATCTGGGAGGCTGCGGCAGCGGACTGTGTGGCACAAGAGGCCCTGTATTTAGGCGAGTAAGCCACTAAAATTTAATCACTGACCACTGCGAAGGGGGCGCGGGAACATTAGTCAGCAGGGCGCGGCATTCTAAATCCGCGCCCGGGCGCGAATGTAGGGGCCGCCGAGCTTCCATCTCGTGCTTATGTAAGCTCGTAACTCTTTTCGCTGTTTATCCTATTGCGGGCACTGTGAAAGAAAATGTTTAACCGTTTCTTTCGCCTACGCATAAGCGCATTACTCCGAAGGTACTGCTTTAATATAATAGAGATACCTATTTAGTTTTACCATGTCTATCCTCAGCTAGGCAAGCGTTAAGCGCTGCCTCTATGACCACTCCTTATAAATCTCGCGTGTGTGGCTCCTAGGTAGCGCCACATCTATTTTATTAGAGAACCGTCTAACTCCTTTAGGTATGCATCGTTCACTTCTAAGGTTTCTTCACTCATTATTTAACGTCATACTCTTCATCACTAGGAATGGAACCTTAGGTACAGCGCCCTGCTGCGTAGCCACTTTTACCTGTCTTTTAGCCGCCTATAACAGCTTGCTTATGCCTGCTCAGCGAGTCCCATCCTATAGAAATGATGTTTTCTTTCCTAACTAGCTTCTCTACCGAGTCGTAGATGCATGTGATAAATTCTTATCCCGATTGCTAATAGGGCCGGCTTAATGCTGCCACCACTCCCTTGTTACGCGAGAAAACTATAATATTCTAACGATTACTGTCGGGTAATTTCCGTAATGCATATGCTATAGCCGCTAGCTCTCCTGAAAACGGATTCTGCTCTGCTCTCGGCCCAAGCGTGAAAGAGAAGACCTTCTGCTCGGACTGACTGCGTTCCATACTCCTGCTGTGAATGACTCCACCAACTCCCACCATGCCGTTCCTCGCCGAGCTGCTCACCGCAACAGCTAGTGTCCACCCTGCGCATACTTCATCGGCCGGCTTGTCCATCACTGTCTTCAGGCGGGCCCTCCAAGGTTCCACCAGAACCGGGGTGATGGTCTCCATCTGCCAGAGTGGTATGCCTTTCAACCTTTCCGCCACCTGGTGCAGAGGTGATCGAAAGCGCGTATAGAACTTTTTAATCCGTGTCGTAATTCTGCTGAGTGGATTCGTTCCGGGCAGAGTATGTACCTCTATCCACATCTTGATCGCCCGCTTCCAGAACCGCTCCCGCGCGCTCACAATGTGTGCTTCCGCCTCCGCCACGGATGTTGCTACGGTCATGAATGTGCCCACGATAGCTTGCGCTCCCGCTCTCTGGACGCGATTGATTTGTCCCATTAGCTTGTCTTTGTAGGCGTGCATCCAGACATTGGAAGCATAGTCGACTACTGGAGTCACCGTGGCTGCAAACAACTGCCTTGCCGTCCTTGCTGACAATCCTCGCAGTCTTTTCAATTCCATAGCTGCTTCCATGGCCTTTGACGCGGCTTCTGGAATATGTTGTTGAAATTTGAGCCGAGCGTCCATGATCACGCCTAAGATCTTAGTATGTTCTTTGGGCTCCACCGACTCCCCTTTGATCACGATGGGCGTTGTGTCGGCTTTGCGCGCGTTCCGAGTAAAGTGCATGACTGCCGTTTTCTTCGCGTTGAACGTCGCTCCGCTCCGTCGTTCCCAATCCTCTGCATGCTCAACAATCGACCGAATTCCCTCCAGATTGCTTTGCGCCGTAGGCCCGGTGACCCAGGCTGTGAAGTCGTCAATAAAAGCGATTGCGCCCCCATTGGCGTCGATCCGCCGCTGGACCAGATCCGCATTGAAAAAGAGGTACGCGACAGGAGACAAAGGCGATCCCTGCGGCAGCCCAGCCTGGTCCAATGCTTGCACATCAGACTCTTGTCCGTTGACCTGAATCGATGCCGTCCTGTCAGAGCAGAAAGCTCCAATCCACCGGACCATCTTCTCCGGCATTCCCCTTGCTCTCATCCTCTGAAGCAGTCGATCCTTGAACACGCCATTATATGCACCCTTTACGTCAAAACTGACGAGGCTTAGTACTCGTCCTCCTCTCCAGGCTGCATAAATTTGCTCTTGCAACAGCACAAGTGCTTGCTCTGCCGAACGTTGCTTGCGCCCTCCAAAGTGATTGGTGGGAAGCAAACCAAACGTCTCCACCGCGTAAGATATTCTTTCAGCAATGACAGATTCTAATACTTTGCCTAGTGTGCACAGCAATGATATCGGCCGCCAGGCCCCCGCAATGCCGTAGTCTTCTTTGTCGCTTTTCTTGAGCGGGATGATCTTCGCGTGTCGCCATTGATGCGGCAAGACGCCCTTGTCGATAGAGGCCTGGAACAAGGCCAAAATCTGATTCTGGACCACTGGCCAGACCTGCTGCCAGACCACCATTGGTAGTCCGTCTTGACCCGGCGCCTTCCACGACTTGGCTGCCATTAATTGACGGTGCACTTCCTCCAGCGTCAGATTCGGCATAGGCACTGCGTTCCGCATCGGACGATCGTTTTCTTCATCAATATGCTGCGGTAGTGGCGGGAAGAAGGTTGTCAGGAGCTTACTACTGGATGTACACTCATGGGCAAAATGGGCTTCCAGTTTTAGTAATGCAATTAATTTTCCCAACAACTTTGAAAGAGTAACAAAGAAGGAGGAGGAACGCGATGAAAGCCGAATGGGCCCAAGCCTGGGCAACCGACAAGCACGGACGCGACCTCTTCAACCTTGGCGTCCGGCCGAGCAAGGCAACACTCTCCATACACAACAGAACACACAGAGCTATCAGCTCAGTCATCACGCAAATGCGCACCGGAAAGATCGGCCTCGGACCATACTTACACTCCATCAACAAGGCCGACTCCGACCAATGCCCCTGCGGTTACGGCCCCCAAACCGTACGCCACGTCCTGCTTCAGTGCAGAGACTGGGCGGATGAAAGAGACAGAATGTGGGCAGGCAAGCGGCCATGGGATGACCTCAAACGCATACTCTGTAGCTCGTCCATAGCCGTGCAAACAGCCAAGATGATGATACGGACAGGACTCCTGGGCCAGTTCCAGGCGGTCCCATCCACAGTACTCCAATACACTTAGCGTAGACGAGTGATATCGTGTAGATAGAAGCAGAGGAGGGCCAGGAAAGGTCTGACAAGTCAGAGACACAGAACTGCCATACATGGCCACCTGTATGATAGAGTTATCTGAACCGAAAGCAAAACCGACATCTGAACAGGACAGAGCTTTGCTTTCGGGGCAAGAACGACAACATCTGTAGGTATTTAGAACGCTGCATAGCTGCTTCGATAGCGGCTGGGACAGTCTATGAATAAAGTCAAGTCAAGTCAAGTCAAGTCGAACTCTCCCCTGTAAACAATTTCCCCCACTTGGTGCTGTTAGCACCTGTTAGTGGGGCGACGCGTTTACAGGCGACATTGCTACACCTTCACTATGGACCACTACCGCGACCCTAACAGCACAATGGAAGAACTTGGGAGAGTTCATATTCCATTGCAAAGCTGGTTTCGGCGACAATTACACGAGATGTGCGCTGCGAATCTTCTTTGAAACAGCTTCTGTATCGACAGATTCACAGTGTACAGCTCGTCTACCTTGTGGCTATCCTCATTCGACAACGCATCAACCGCCGACTCCTAGTGTTCGAACCTCAGGAAACACCAGAACATTACAGCCCCAGTGCGTGACGGGGTTGTCGAGCCGTCACGCACAACAAAAGATGGAAAATGGACTTGGATACCCCATTTTCCTGCCTGATAAGAGTTTACGGCATCGTACACCCAGGGAGAACGCGTTTTGTGACGCGTGACAGAAGCGACGGATTAGGCCACCGCCGAAACATCAACACCGAACAAACCTTCAACGGCATCATCCCCCATCAATATACGCGTCAACATGTCGAAAGTCGATCATACGAACCTCACGAAACACAAATATCACAGCCCCAGTACCAACAGAAGGAATTGCGCCCCTTGCTGAGTACGCCACGCGATGGAAAATGGGCCTGGAGAACCCATTTGTCTTGCCCGACAATCGTTTACGGTATCGGTGATTGAGGAGTATACACTGGAGAAGCAGAATAGAATGGGCGGATATGTTTACAAACACCAAAAACACCAAGGGCCACCAAAACAGTCAAACGTAATGCACAGCAACAGAAAAGTACTTCACAGAGCCTGACTATCCAAACATAGTCAGGTTCGGGACCGCATAACTTTTACATCAATTGGCAACAACACCACCAACAGCTCAGAACATGCACACCAGGACCGATAACATTCAAGAACACACAGTCGACCCATATTCATACAGACAACTACATCGATTGACGATTTCTAGCTCGTCAGGGTACCGTGGTGACGTCTGTGTGGAATCGCGTTGAGCATGGATCACACATCACCGAGCACGCCACAAAAGTTCACAACACACAATTATAGTACGTCGACGCTCAAATAGCGCACTCCAAACATGAATATCCTGTTAGGCTGTTGGGTCCGTAATGCCCTCTAGAACGTTGCAAGATACAACAGCCTGCAAGTGATAGCACAAACACAGCCAAGAGAACCGAGAGGGCAGGGCACGGCTCTGTCCACAGAAATGGAAAGCCTCGCGAACGAGTGGTTACTGTTATACAGAAGTTAAGGAGGGCCAGGAAAGGCCTGACAAGTCAAAGATATAGAACTGCCATAAATGGCCATCTGTATGATAGAGTTGACCGAGCCGAAGACGAAGCGAACTTCGCCATAGGGAACTTCGTCTTTGGGCCCAGGACAGCAACATCAGTAGATAGAACGCTGCATAGCTGCCAACAACGGCGGCTGGGACAGTCTATGAATAAAGTCAAGTCAAGTCAAGTCAAGACACCCCCACTTATTCAGCGACAGTGCGGAGTGCTGCGTACGAAAAATCTCGCCCGCAAATGCGTTCGCCGTCCAGAAGTGGCGCGTCCCAGTAGTTTCTCGTACGCAGTTCCTCGTGCGGCAGTCCCAGACTTGACTTGACTTGACTTGACTTGACTTTATTCATAGACTGTCCCAGCCGCCGTTGTTGGCAGCTATGCAGCGTTCTATCTACTGATGTTGCTGTCCTGGGCCCAAAGACGAAGTTCCCTATGGCGAAGTTCGCTTCGTCTTCGGCTCGGTCAACTCTATCATACAGATGGCCATTTATGGCAGTTCTATATCTTTGACTTGTCAGGCCTTTCCTGGCCCTCCTTAACTTCTGTATAACAGTAACCACTCGTTCGCGAGGCTTTCCATTTCTGTGGACAGAGCCGTGCCCTGCCCTCTCGGTTCTCTTGGCTGTGTTTGTGCTATCACTTGCAGGCTGTTGTATCTTGCAACGTTCTAGAGGGCATTACGGACCCAACAGCCTAACAGGATATTCATGTTTGGAGTGCGCTATTTGAGCGTCGACGTACTATAATTGTGTGTTGTGAACTTTTGTGGCGTGCTCGGTGATGTGTGATCCATGCTCAACGCGATTCCACACAGACGTCACCACGGTACCCTGACGAGCTAGAAATCGTCAATCGATGTAGTTGTCTGTATGAATATGGGTCGACTGTGTGTTCTTGAATGTTATCGGTCCTGGTGTGCATGTTCTGAGCTGTTGGTGGTGTTGTTGCCAATTGATGTAAAAGTTATGCGGTCCCGAACCTGACTATGTTTGGATAGTCAGGCTCTGTGAAGTACTTTTCTGTTGCTGTGCATTACGTTTGACTGTTTTGGTGGCCCTTGGTGTTTTTGGTGTTTGTAAACATATCCGCCCATTCTATTCTGCTTCTCCAGTGTATACTCCTCAATCACCGATACCGTAAACGATTGTCGGGCAAGACAAATGGGTTCTCCAGGCCCATTTTCCATCGCGTGGCGTACTCAGCAAGGGGCGCAATTCCTTCTGTTGGTACTGGGGCTGTGATATTTGTGTTTCGTGAGGTTCGTATGATCGACTTTCGACATGTTGACGCGTATATTGATGGGGGATGATTCCGGTTAAGGTTTGTTCGGTGTTGATGTTTCGGCGGTGGCCTAATCCGTCGCTTCTGTCACGCGTCACAAAACGCGTTCTCCCTGGGTGTACGATGCCGTAAACTCTTATCAGGCAGGAAAATGGGGTATCCAAGTCCATTTTCCATCTTTTGTTGTGCGTGACGGCTCGACAACCCCGTCACGCACTGGGGCTGTAATGTTCTGGTGTTTCCTGAGGTTCGAACACTAGGAGTCGGCGGTTGATGCGTTGTCGAATGAGGATAGCCACAAGGTAGACGAGCTGTACACTGTGAATCTGTCGATACAGAAGCTGTTTCAAAGAAGATTCGCAGCGCACATCTCGTGTAATTGTCGCCGAAACCAGCTTTGCAATGGAATATGAACTCTCCCAAGTTCTTCCATTGTGCTGTTAGGGTCGCGGTAGTGGTCCATAGTGAAGGTGTAGCAATGTCGCCTGTAAACGCGTCGCCCCACTAACAGGTGCTAACAGCACCAAGTGGGGGAAATTGTTTACAGGGGAGAGTTTCGTCCAAAAGTGGGCGTGTTCAGTAATTTCTCGTACGCATTTTTTCGTGTGCAGTTCACAGCAATCATGTGTCCACGCTAGATCCATGCCGCCTAGCTAAAGTCTCGCACGCAGTTTCTCGTGCGACCGATTTTTTTTGGAACGAACCTCAGAATGAAGATAAACCCGATTCTGGCCCTTCTAAGCATCATCAAGCTTTTTTCTTGCGGTCATAGTGCTGGTTTGGACCTGCCGGTTGGTAGGTGGAGGCTCAAATTACAACAAGTGGGTGAATCATTTGGGGAAGGCCATTTTGCCCATGACCCGTATCAATTGCCTTAGAGGATCGTTCTACTCCTTCGGGTATGCTTCGTTCGCCTCTAAGCTTTCTCTGCTCGTTATTCAGCAATGTGGATTTCATGAGTGGGAACGAAGCCTGTGGCAATGCCCCTTGCTCTGTCGCTGCCTTTGCCTGCCTTTTGGCCGTTTGTAACAACTTATTCTTGTCCGGCGACTCCCACAACACCGCGACAACGTTTCCTTTGTCGATCAGTTCCTCTATCGAGTCGTAGATGCATTGATAAATGCCTGTCCTGACTGCTGGTACGGTCGGTTCAGTGCTACCACTGCCACTTACTGTACTTACAGTATTTAAATACTGTACTCTAACTAGCTAAGGAAAAGAGCTTTCTGGTGGTTTGGCCGCCTGTCTTTTGGCGTGGCACAAGTCAGGCACCAACGACAGGCAGCCAGGCCCTGTGTCTGTGGGGTGGCAGGTGGGCGACCAGGGCATTTGAGGCTGCGCAGAGAGTTTCCCGCGCTTTTCCCATACGAGAGCTTGCGTGAGAGTCAGCACGGGGAGCAAATTCTTTCGTGGAATTAGCCAATCAGACGGGTTTGCAGAGCGTTGTCGCACGCGCCATGGCGTGGTTGTATGGACAAGACCTGTTGAACCAGCACACGTCTTTGGCTGGCGTAAATGCTAAACGTCCCTACAGAATCCACCTGGACACCTCCTCTGCCCGGGAATGCCGCATTTCACCGCCACGGTCGGTGAAATCTATCCAGCTCTTCCATCCTCTGGACCCTTTTAACAAAGCGATGTACCAGTCGCTTGACACCAGCAATTTTAGAAGTCCGGCAGACCGGCAAAAAAAATCCAATTTAGCGAGCCACATGACCTAACCGGGGAACTGTTTCTTCATGCACAATTCTAATAGCATGTATCCTCGAAAAGCTAGGCTTAGTATGGTTGTGTAGACAAGACCGACTGACGAAGGTTCCAGACGATACTTGAGCAAATATTGAACTAATGATAGTTGGCATGGTTGTGTCCGCAAAACCGCGCGGGCGGAATATATAAACTCCTCTCCCATCGCTGTCCAGGAATGGGTTCGGGAGGTGCAAAGTCAGGCCGAACTCATGAATCGACCTCTGGTATCTTTGCCTCACAGCGTAACAACAATGACTGAAAATTGGTCAGAGGGTGTGCTTTTGCACATGCGAACCCCAACAAAGACCAAGACAGACAATATTTGCAGTTTGGCAGATTGATACGCGATGCCACAATCCGTAATTTGCGTGCCCAATGGCGTGGTGAGGATCACACCAGATGGTAGCCAGAGGGCGCGTTTCACTAGCCTTGCAACACAGCCAAGGCTCGAGAC